AAGCTCCCCAATAAGAGGAGTCCCTAAAGATCTGGACCATAAATGTCTCAAGCGATGTCAAAGCCAGAGTTGTCCCTGACTTGAGGCCAGGGGCTGCATTAGATCAACTTCATGCAGTCCATGTGAACACTCATGTCCATGTGTTCACTCAAGTCCAAGTGAACACAACACTTGTGCTTGTACCATCTACCCTGACCAGTCTGCTCCTCCCTGCATGCCCCTGGCCAGCTGTCATGCTGCAGCGGGAAGTATGGGTGACCACACACCATGCAGTCAGCTCAGCCATCAGCAGGCCTCTGGCGGTGGCAACAAACACCTGTGTCGGCTTAACACATGCACCCGCCGCACTAGCACCTGCCAGAGAGAGGTTTTCAGGGCCAGATCTGCTGCCTGGCAGTGTCCCATGCACCCATACTATGGCGTTGTTCATTTATTCATTCAACTCACATTTATTGAGCACCTATTATATGCCAGAAACTGTGCTGGACACTGGGAGCCCCCCCTAGATAGACAGCCATAGTCCCTGCCCAAAACAGTGTAGTGTGGAAGAGGCAACTACCACATAAGCAGGGTGGAGGCAGCTGCTGTGAGGAGGAGTCGGGGGTTGAGGGAAAACCCAAGAGAGGCTTCTAGAAGGAGTGGTGCCAAGCTAAGGCCTTAGGTGCCTTTCCTAAGCAATAGGAAAGAGCATGTGCAAAGGCCTCAAGGAAGAAAGCCTGACATTTTGAAAGCTGAAGTCAAGCAGAGGAAGGAAAGAAGTAAAGAAGCTTGTAGAGAGCCTTGTGTGTCCAGTCCGTGGGGATCCGTGGAAGGGTTTGGGGCAGGGTCATGACCCTGTCAGATAAGTCTTGCCTGAGATGACCACGTTGGTTAGAACAAAGCAGGCAGGTTGCGTCAGCTCCCCTGGATACCCCTCTTACGAGTGCTCACCCTGGGGCCTCCAGAGACTTCATGCCTACCCAGGGGGAATAGCAGGTGCCTCCTGCTGCAGCCAGGGGCTGGAGCCATGGCAGAAGAGAAGGGAACGACAGCAGATGGAACCCATGGCCACTAACAGAGAACCTTGAAAGCACGTCCTCTGAGTGACACTGCCTGCTAGCACCTTCAACAAGGCTCTGGTTCAAGTGTCTGATTCTGTAGAGCCAACCAGTAGTTTCTGTGGCCAACAGGCTTCTCACCCCTGCTGAGGTTCACTCTCCAGCAGGGTGAATGGACCGGGCTGGCTTAGCATGTGCATGGGTGTGGATTTGCATGTGTGTAGAAGTACCATAGCTGGCTTTGGCCACCCACCATGACCTCACAGAGGTCTCTTAAACTAACTCCTGTAGACATTTTGCCCAAGCCCACAGCCTCCTCGAGGCCCTGGCGTGTCCACCATCTCCAAACCTGTCATGGTCCACCAGGAACCTAACTTTATCTACAGGCCAGCTGTGAAATCCGAGGTCCTGGTAAGCCTCTTGGGTCCCTTCCAGGGCATGTCTAGAGGAGCAGACCAGGGCCATCTCTCCCAGGTTCTGCTGCCTCTGCAGGGAGGGTGAGGTGGGACACAAACTCAGGTCAGGTCCCATCTTGTAACCTTCACTGTGGCCAAGAGCTAAGTCCACATGGGTGTGAGAGGGTGCTGATGTGATCAGTGGAATTCCTGTTCCTCACATGACCACAGCCTGTGCTTCTAGAATAATAATAACAATAATAATAATAGCTAAGACTACTTAAGAGCCTACCATGTGCCAGGATCTGGAGGGTCTCGTTTAATCCTCACAACTATCTAGTGAGATGGTTCCTATGAGGCTTCGAGAGTTTAAGTCAATTGCCCAAGGCAGAGCCTGGACTTAACTCCTTACACTCACTTCTTTCAGACCCCAAAGCCCACACTCTTAGCCATGTTGCCAAAATCTCTAGTGATTCCAGTTTCCCTGGCCTCTACTCTGAGGCCTGTTGTGGTCTGGAGTGGGACACCCTCAGGTGGGGAACTGACCAGAACACACCCATTCCCTTTCCTCTCCTCTCTAGGGCTGGTAGTCTGAGGGGTGGTCTTGGGCAGTGGCAAGGGTCTGCCCCAGTAGCTGACAGCTAAGACTCACACACACCCTTCAGAGGTGCTGGGCACTGACTGGCCTCCCACCTGCAGTGGGAAGAGTCATACCAGAATTTTCATTTCCCTTTCAAGGAAACCCTATACACATTTAGGGCAGGACAGCCCAGATAATTATTTTGAGGTTTAGCTGTCACCTCCCCAAAGAGCAAAGTTTATGCTCCTGGGACAGCCTGCTGATGCATCCACATCATGTTCTCTGGCTAGTGACAAGGGGTGGTGTTTGCTCAAGGACACCTGGGTAGCCACTGCATCTGTGGGCATCCAGCAGGCCCCTAACTTAAGTCAGACTGTCTGTGTCTGCCTGGGGAGGGACTTTGGCAGGGCAGCCCCAGGCTGGCAGGCCCCAGGCCTGGCACCAGGGGGCAGACAAGACCTATTGGTAACATCCAGTGTGGAACTATTTTCTCTCTGGCAGCCACAGGAGATGTTGAAGAGGATGGTGGTTTATCAGACAGCATTCAGACAAGTAAATAGGCACCCCTGCCATGTGCCTATCCCCCCTATCTCTTCCATTCTGTCTGACTTCTTTCTCTGAGTGCCAGTTCTACGCCAGCCGCAAGCACCCTCTGCCAGGGAGCCTCAGGCCAGAACTCTGTCCCCACTCCCCACCCCCACCCCCGTTGCTCAGAGCAGGGGTTGGGGGATTTCATATTAGAGGAAGCCCAGGGCCCAGGGCTTCTTAGACCCCACGCTCAATACAGGAACCCTGGACATTTGCCTCTTTTGCTGCTGTTTGTCCAAAGAGGAAAAGGGCAGAGGGAACCCTCAGAGGGTCACAGGGCCAAGATAGGCCCTTGCTTCAGGCCCAGGAGAGGGGGCAGGGGCTGCCTGAGATGTTCCCTGAACTTTCCTCTGTCTTGTCCCCTCCAGGAAGTTCAGTTTCACTAAACCCTCCCTAACACTGAACCAGCATCAGGGAGGAAGTGGTGACTCAGATCTTCCATCTGTCCAGGATGCTCTGGCACATGGGGATGTGGTCATCCTTGCTGGCCTCTGACTGGTACCAGGCAGGCAGCACCTATGACGAGACCCCAAAGTAAAGAGAGATCTTGGGGCAGCCCTGCCTCCCCTCCTTACTCACCGATAAGACAGCATTAGACCGACCACAGGCTGACTTGACGACAGGCAGGGAGCAAAAGGGAGGTGTGAGGTGTGCAGTGAGACACAGATGTCTGCAATAGAGCCTCCTCCCAGCCCAGGGATTTGTAAATTTAATCTCTACAATAACCTGTAGTATTACCTGCATTTTATAGATGAGAAAGTTGGAAACATGCCCACGGTGGCACAACTAGCATCAGTCCCTGGATTTGAATCCAGGAGGTCAGCTCTGCAGTCTATGCTGGTAAATGCTCCCCATCCTCCCTCTCAAAGCACTGCCATTACTAAATGGGCATTTCAGGCCTGGTGGTTTAGGGCACAAACAGACTAGGCCCCAGGCTTGGAGTCAAACCCTTGCTCTGCTGCCCACTAACTGCGTGATCCTGGGCATGAATGTCACCTCTCTGGGCCTCGGTTTCTTCATCTGTTGAATGAGGGGTTGGGCTCCCTCTTTTGGAGCAGACCAGCTGTCATGGTTTATGAATCTCCCATCTGAATTCACATAAGACACAAGTACCTGCCATCTGGCCCATCCCTGAGAACAGGTTCTTGGGGTCATGGAGAGGGGAGGCCCACAACACTGCCCAGCTTTCCAGAAGAAACTGCCAGGGCCCTCTCAGGCTAGCAACCCCTCTGGCCCAAAGATTTGCTGCATCCCCCTCTGTCTTCTGAGCCCACTCCCACAGGCCCATGTGGGTGTGGCCTCTGAGTTGAGCCAGGCTCATGACCTCTTTGGGGTTGAGCCTGGGAGATGAAGACTGGTGAGGGGAGATGGCAGGTGGATGTTCGAAGACCTACCTACTGGCATTTGACCCTCATCTTGTGCCAAGAGCTTGGTTGCTGCCTTCTGGCATGGAGCAGGTGGGCGGTCTGTGGCTTCTCAACCATGCTGACCACAGGCCCCAGGGGACACCCATGTGCTGAGGGTGGCTCCACTTGGTTGGTCTGGTGAGGCCTATATGGGCACATGCCACGGGGCTCTCCTTCACTCCCACCCTCCTAAAGGGGCTACCATGGCTTTGCTGGCCTTGCACTTGGCATTCTAGCCCTGGCTCCTGCTCACTGCATGTGACTTTTGAAACAGGCCATGTATTCAGGTTCTACACCCTTCTCCTCAGTGTCTTGTTCCTAAATCTTGGGACATTGTCCCCACAGCAACCCACATCAAGCCAGGTCCCCTGAGCTGGGTATCCTCCTCCTCCCCAGGCTAAAAGGCCAACCTGGGATCCCCAGAAACGTTTAGGTAAGGTTAAGAGCAGTGCTTGTCACCAGACCACCACAGACCTTCACCACTACCAACCCCTTCCCACTCAGTGCCTCTTGCCTCCCTAAGGCATCTCGTGGCCAATTCCCCAGGAAGAGAAGGACTGGCCCTTTGGGGTCAGAGCATGGGATGGAAAAGCTCTGGCTTCATCCCTGGGACCTGGGCACCATCTCAAGAGGGAAGTTGGAAGAGATGGCGTGGTCCTCCAAGGACCTGAGAGTAGAAGCTGAGAGCTGAGATTGGGGATGAGACCTGGTGAGGCAGACACTGCCTGCCCAGACCAGCAGTGGTGCCCCTGTGGTCCCAGACACTCACCCCTCTGGAATGGGGCAGGCCTGAAGTCCTCAAAATGTTTCCTGCCGCTTCCAGCTTGTCCCTGAGCTAGGGTGCTCTGGCTATTGGGGCTGCCTCCTCCCCGCATCCCCATCCAGGCCACGCCTGCCCCCCAACTCTTGGGTTCTGAGCATTCACCTTCTTCCTCCTCTGCTCTGACCCTCAAGGGCCACTGCTCTGTCACCCTAAAGCCCCTCTTGTTTCTAGGACTTCCGGAAATATGAGGAAGGCTTTGACCCCTACTCAATGGTAAGAGATGACTCTCCTCTCCTGGGAGGTGGGTTAGGGTGTTTGATGCTGGTATGTTCTGGATTCCAGGGTCTGGGATAAGGCAAGGACATATGAGGAGCCCCAAGGACACCCCAGCTGGTCTCCTGCTGAGGCTCCTTCCAAAAGCACTCCAGCATGAACTGTTTGGCACATGTGCCTATGTGTCCATTGTCCCCCATGGGGCTGTGAGACCCCAGCTGAAGACCAGTGGGATGGGTGTGGGAACTGTCTCCTGTCCCTGCACTCTGAGGGGCCCAGTGTCTTCTCCTCTACCCCTGCCCCCATAGCCATCCTTCTGGCCAACTCAAAGCTGCCACTGTCTTCTCCCCTCTAGTTCACCCCAGAGCAGATCATAGGAAAGGACGTCCGGCTTCTGCGCATTAAGAAGGTACCTGGGCACATGGAGGTGGGTGGGCCACCATCCTCCCCTACCCCTGCTCCTCCCACCTCCATTCCCGGCTTCTACTCTCAAGGTAACTCCTAGCTGGCCCTGCAGGTCCCCCCTCACCTACCCTGTCCCCAAGATACCCCCTCCTGGTGTAGGGCTGCATACCCAGTGGAACATTGGTTGTGGAGAAAAACCAATGTTCTCATTTTCTCCACAATGGCACTGCCAGAGGCTGCATGGCTCCTCCTGCCTTCTCCGTGGCCCTGTCAGAAGACTCATTGGTACCCAGGTGCCCACGGGCTGCTGTCTGCTTGGCTCTCTAAGACTTGTTTTCCTCTAACCAGGAGGGATCTTTAGATTTGGCCCTGGAAGGTGGTGTGGACTCCCCGATTGGGAAGGTGGTCGTCTCTGCTGTTTACGAGGGGGGAGCAGCCGAGCGGCATGGTGAGTGGACACCAGCCATGCCTGGGTTTGAGGATGGCGCAGTGGTCAGACAGGGCCCTCCAGGAGAACAAATAGCTGCCCAGTTTGAATGGGCTGACAGTGGGCTGATGGTTACTCAAAAATACCCATCTGTCTAGCCATCTGTAATTCCCACACACCACTTAAGACCATGTGATAGTGCCAGGACCTGCGAGTACACAGCTAAACCAGGTGCCACCCTGCCCTCCAGGCTCCCCAGCCAGGGGTGACCACATGCTCAGAATTGCCAGGTACCAACCAGCACAGTACAGTCTGCAAAGGGCTTACAGGGAACTCTTAGGGTGGAAGGAAGCTGAGGGAACCCTGAGAGAAGGCTCCTTAGAGCAGTAGCCCGAGCTGGGCCTTAGCAGCATGCAGGTGAAAAAGGCAGGAGCGAAACCTCTAAACCTTTCCTGTCCTTTCAGAGATGATAAGAACCACACATTTGCTGAGAACTCACCATGTGCCACATGCTATTCTAAGTAGCTGGCACAAAACCCTCTGAGCATTTCACATTTATTAACTCAGTTAATTCTCATAACAACCCAGAAAATAGGTACTATTATTATTCTCATTCTGCAGCTTAGGAAACTGAAGCACAGAGAGGTGAAAGCAATTGTTGAAGGACCCACAGTCAGTAAAAGGCAGAAGCAGGACTTGAATCCAGGCAGTGTGGTCATGAGGTCTTGTGCAGCCTTGCTTCTGCCCAGAGAGCCAGAGCTCCCCCCATCCTCTGCACACTGTGTCTCTTTTGAGGCAAGATCTTCTTGCTTTGTATTTATCCCACTTATCAACAAAAACACCCTCTGCTGATGAGGGAAGCCTCTACAGACCCCAGGCCCAGTCTCTTGCTTCAAACTATCAACCCCTTCACTTGTCAAGCTGTGTCAGAAACTCCACCATTAGCGATTCCTTCCTCCAAGCCAAGGAGGCCCCTGAGTCCTTGGTGGGGGTATGGGTGCCGGTGGAGGAGGAGCCCCAGGCTGGAGCGACGAATCCTATGATCAGATCCCTTCTGGAAGTCTCAGGCTGTAGTCAGGCTCTGCCACTAGCAAGAGGTGGTAAAAAGTGAGGGCCTGGGCCAAGAGATGGAGAGAAGGGAGAGCCACCTGGTGACTGGCAGAGTTACTGGGGCAGGTATGGGCACTGGGAGCCATGGGTACAAGTCCAGCTCTGTACTATAGCCTCAGTGGTCTCAAGCCCTCCTCAGCCACACTCTAAGTTTTCATTTCAGCTCAAGAAGGGAGCATCTGCTCAGCTAGGCAGCTGCCATGGCCCCCACCCTCCTCCTCTGTCCTTACTTGCATGTCAACTAGAGGTGTGGGTGCTATTTGGCCCAGGGAGGCCACCTGCCTGTCATGTGTAGCAGGGAGAAAGGACCAAGATGGGTGAGTGACTATCCTGGGTCCTCCCCACCTACAAAGCCCCAGACAACCACTTCCTTATTACTACTTCCTTAGGTTAGATTTGTACAAAATAAGAAGTGAAAGTCCCCTATCCCCAGTCCCTGTACAGAGGAAACTGCTGTCTACAGTCTGGTCAGGCACTGTTTTGGAAATACCAGCAGCTGGTGGAAGCTTCCCCAGGAGCACATCTTTTAAGCCACAGGGCTGCCATCATCAGTAACATACACTGTATTCCCATGGGCCTTCATTCCCACAAGGCTTCAGGTGATCTATTTCAATATAACCTGGAGTGCTCTGTGGACATAGGACAGGGGAAAATTCCTCAAAAAAGAACTTTGATGTCGAAGAGATATGGGAAACCATGTACAATCTGTCTACTTTTAAGATAGTTGCAATGCATATTAGGATATTCAAGTCTCTGACAGGTCCTGCAGTGAGTAACTTTAACTTGTAACTCAGCTTTCCCCCAAATTATTAGGTGTCACAGGAAAGCCCATCCAAGAAAACCTTTTAACAGTGTTCATGTATTCAGCAAGTATCTGTTGAGTTGAGTTCCTGTTTTGTGCTGGGTTTATATTAGGTGCTGGCAATAGAGTGGTACACTAAAAAGACGGTCCCTGCCCTGGTGGAGTTGATGGTATGGTGGGAGAAATCATTGATAAACAAGTAAACAAACAGATTTATGATTACCAATTGTAAAAAAAAAAAATGCTATGTAGGCAAAGACCAGGATACTGCAAGAGAATAATGGGAAAGATCTACTTTAGGTTGGGTGGGAGTCAGAGAAGCCCTCTCTGAGGAGGAGACATTTCCTCTCAGATTAGAAGGTGGGGGAGCATTCCAGATGGAATGGCATATGAAGGCTGTGAGGCAGGGAAGAGCCTGGCAGCTCAGGAACCGGCACAGCAGAGAGGGCTAGTTCACAGAACTCACCCAGGTCCCTGCTAACCTCGCTGGAATGCAGATCTGCTGCCCTCTGCAGAGACAGAGGCCCCCATGAGAGCTAGTGGCAATGATTCTTCACTGTGTCCTCATTCTACTGAGTTGGGGTGAGGGTGTATGGAGGAATGCCCTTTGAGTAACCAGGTGGATAACTTCTCCTTATGCTTTCTGGGCCCATGTGAGCCTTCAGAACCCAGGATCAGATCTCTTTTACGGCCCCACAGTGATTCCCTTTTGCTAAGCTCTGGATCCGGTACAAATCACATATAGCCCAGTTGGCCACTCACCTTCATCTTCCTGCAGGTGGCATTGTGAAAGGGGATGAGATCATGGCGATCAATGGCAAGATTGTGACGGACTATACTCTGGCTGAGGCTGAGGCTGCCCTGCAGAAGGCCTGGCATCAAGGGGTAAGAACAAGCTCTCTGTCACACTTCCTTCCTTGTCTGCCTGCCTCAAACCCTGGTCTCTGCAGCCAGGCCTTACAATCAGGATGCCCCATCCCAGAGCAGGTATTTAGGGTCTAGTCAACTCCTGGTGACACCCACATATCCCATCCAGCCAATGGTCTAAATCTAACAAGATGGAATTCAGAAAAATAAATGTCAATTTTTAACCTTGAGTCCAAAAAATCCAGTGGCATAAACAGACTCCAGAAGACCAGGCAGGACAGCCCTCACAAGAAAAAGACTTGGTCTTCTATAAGTACACACTGAACAGGAATTAAGAGAGTGCTGGGGGCTACTAGAAAGCATTAACAAAAGTAAAAGGCCCAGGATGAAAGAAGGGCTGATAGTAATAAGCTCTGTGCTCATTAGACACCCACTCGGGTCCGGGCCACCATGTAAGGTCTCCCAGGCTGTGCACTGCACAATCTGAGGGGGTGCCCTCCTATAGACTATAGTGTGAATGGTGCCCACTCATGTTGTGCAATGCGCAACCTGTGCAACTGTATGCAGGCAGCCGAGCCTGGGGTATTAAGTTCAGTGCCAAGGAAGCTGACCAGATGGGCCTGGGACCCACATGAAGGGATATGGAGAAGAGAAGACTTACGGGTAACATGATGACTGTCTTTGATTATCTAAAGGGCTGCATTAGTGTAGAGGGAGCAGAAATACTCTCTGTGATTCTTGAGGGCAGAGCTGGATTGGATGGAGGGAGGTGCTGGGATGAGAGAGAGATGTGAGGTGAATGTTAGGAGCTCTCACATGGTAGAGGGGCCCAGTGAAATTTCAGATACTTGTCAATGGATACACCCAAGCCAATACTTAAGGGATTAAAGTGTTAGGATCAAAAAGCTATGCCAGAAGTTCCCCAGTTGTCTGTGCATCAGAATCACCTAGGGAGCTTATTAAAATACTGCTTCCCAGGACCCACCCCAGATTTCCAGGGGCCAAGTCTTCACTTTTAAGTGGTTCCACTCTATGAGGTTATTCCCTGGTCCTGGTCTATAGATCAACATTTGGTAACTTAGTAACATTCAAGGGCCTAGCAGCCCTGACCTCTATGATTCTGAAGCCTCAGACACTGGAATCTTCCCCAGACCTTGGGACCCCACAGTGGGCCCATCTCTAGCAGGTAAACCTCCAGCCCTACCTGTGGCTGCCACCCTTTGGGGAGAAAGTCCTACCTGGCTGATCCTGAGCCATAGTGCCTGAAAAGGAGAATGGAGTATCAGGGGCAGATACCCTATCCACCCCTGAATGTGCCCCAGAGTCACACTGCCTCTCCCCACAGGACTGGATGGACCTTGTTGTTGCCGTCTGTCCCCCCAAGGAGTACGACGATGAACTGTAAGTGTGTGCAGGCCCTTGGCCCACCACCTCTCTTCCTTTCCCAGAATCTCAGCCACCTTCCTGCAGCCCACCCTGCCCAGCCCCAGCCCCAGCCCTCAGTCAGCATGAAAGGACGGCCCAAGCACATAGCTTCTAGTAGTCAGATGGCCTCGAAAATTCCTGGGCTGGAGAAATCCTAGAGTACTGTCCTTGGGTACTGTCAGAGCTGCCTCCCAGGCTGTCCTGTCCAAATTCTTTACATGTGGGAAATTGAGTTTCCCAAGTCTCCGAGTAAGCAGGGAAGTTTCTTTCTCCTTTACATATAGGAAACTGAGGCTCAAGGTCTCAGACCAAGTAAACGGTGAAGTTGGAACAAAGACTCAGGATTTTTGATTCTCCACTCAGAACTTTATCCCCCGCATCATTATCAGATAGTTTAAAGATTTGTGGGTCCATCCTGCACTCTCTGGAAGGCCTTCCTGATGTCTAGCTGTATTCACTCATGTATCTGTAGGCAGCCAAGCCCGCAGGCTTTTGTCCCAACCCTGTGCGATCTCCAGGGAGCCCTGGGCTGGGCTCTTTCTCTGTGATTCCCTGTGTGTCTGTATCTGCATGGGTCTCTCTATCTTCTCTCCTTCTCTCTCTCTGTCTCTGTCTCTCTCCCCCATCCTTCCTGTCATTCTCATTCTCTCTCTCTCTCTCTTTCTCTCATATCTGTCCCTCTCCTTCCCTCTTTCCATTTCTAGCTTTGTTTGTTTCTCTCTGCCCCTGGTTCTAAGTCCCTCCTTCTCTGTCTTGGTCATTCTGCATCTATTCTTACCTCTCTGTCTCTCTCTGTCTCAGCAGTGTCTCACCTCCATCTTCACCTCATCACACCCCCTCCCTACCCCTTGCCCACCCACTGTGAGTCACACACTCCCTGGCCACACCCCTGCTTGCCTGGCATGGCTGTGCCTGCTTGTCCCCCAGTCAGCAGAGGCTGAATGCTGTGCATGTCTTAGAGAAACCAAGGTCTACCACTCCTAAGTCTGGAACCCCCGGGGCTAGGCAGAACCCAAGGCAGGAGCCAATGAGAGATGTCTGGCAGCATTCTGCCTGGGAATAACGGAGCCCTGTTTTGTGTTTCCTGCTCTGCCCTGTGTATGTAGCTCTTCTCTTCCCTCCTCCGCAGCCGAAAGCCCCCGGCTGGTCCGAAAGCTCCTTGAAGACCGGTCTCCCGTGCACAGACACGGGTTCCTCCTGCAGCTGGAGCCCACGGTGAATAGGCAGGCAGGCGCGAGGCCCTGGCTGTCACACTGTATGCAGTGGCCATCTGCTGCCTATACTGTCAGCAGGTTCTTTGGACTGGTGTCTGGTGGGATACACAAGGTGCCATTTCTGTGGTATTGCCTAGGGTCTGCCGTTGGCCGTGCTGGAATTCTGTCATACTCAAAGACCCTCCTCCACCTTGGGGGATTGGTGCAGAGCTCAGTTGAGCACTTGCTTGAGACCTAGGCATGCTGATCACCACAGCCCTGGGACTTGCCTGGGATCTCCTGTAGCACCCGAATGAGGTGGATGGATTAGTGAGAGCTGTTCTCTACTGGGTGCAGACAGTGCCTTAGACCAGGCATACTGGGCTGGGAGAGCCCATGGGAAGCCCAGGTGGAATTTCCCCCAAGAGGTGTCCTCAGCAAAATGTGCCTCCCTTGACTGTGAATCCCACCCTTCTAGGGACCCCTGCTCTACCCTGGCCCCCCTGCTTGGGTGGAGCCAGGGCTCTTAAGAGGTTTTTAAGGCTGGTCCAAAGAACTAGGGTTGGAAGATTAGAGTTGCTCACCTCCTGTTGTGCCCTGTCATGGACTAAGCCCTGCTCCAACCAAACTATTCTTGGTACTTTCTCCATCCCTTGGCTCCAAGCTCTATTTGTGGGACATACCATGGAGCCCAGCTTTGGGAGGTGCTTCCCGCCCTGTGACAGGGCTATGCCCATGGACAGAGCTAGCAGGTGGCTGTGAAACAGGTGTTTGATGTGGCCTGAAGCCTACAGCTGGCAGCATCTGGGGCAGACTAGATGGACTTGTTGACTTTTTTGTTACAAGTTTCCCAAAACATTAGGGCCTCATGCTTCCAAGACAGTTGGTCTACTACACTGTCGCTTCTGGGAAGGCCTAAGTGACCCTATGTTTTCTGTCGCTTGCTCTTTGCAAGAGACCTCTACCCCTCTTCCTCCCAGGTCCCTCCTCTCTCATCCTGGGCATCCTTTCTGCATTCTCCTGGGCCTCCTGTGTGCTGTGGCTGTGGCTGAAGTGTAACCACTTGGGCTAAGAGGGCTCTAAGAGGGGCCTCAGAGATTAGCAGGGCCTTGTGCTGCCAGGTGGCTGCTCCCCTTTGTGGGGCCCATCCACAGGCCTGCACCCACCTTCTGTTTCCTCTTTCATTCAGGACCTTCTTCTGAAGTCCAGAAGAAACCAAATTCAGCCCTAGAAGATGATGAGCTCTGGCCCACCTCCTGAACACAAAGCCTGGGACCAGCTGGGAGAGAGGCCAGCCTGCAGGTACCAGCACCCAGCACCCAGGAATTTCAGACCTCCATTGGACCTGATCTGGGGCTGGATGAGAAGCACCCTAGGCCACTTTTCTGAAAGCCAATGCAGAAAGGAGGGAGCAGCCAGCTGTTCTGGAGAGGACCTCTGGGATTTTGGACTCACTTCTTTCCTCTGCTCCAGTGAAATTGGTCTCTCCCAGCCCCACGGGACTCCATCTTGAACTCATTTAATAAGACCCAACTCTTGAATCTCTCTCCATCTCTCTCTTCTGGCCCCTACTGTAATTGCTGCTACAATGGCTGATGCAAACCTTACTCTGAGCTCAATAATAAAGTAAACAGATTTCTTTTCCAGTTTATGGGAGCGAGTGTGAATTTGGACAGCAGATTCAAGGCTGTTAAATAAAAAAGCATAAGGTTTGGCTCCTATTCATGGGTAAGAACCAGATTCCAGTGCCACGATTTGGGTCTAGTATAAAGGATGTGATCACATGGCCAGTGCTGGCTTGGGGAAGAGGGTTAGGAAGCTAGAGACCAGCTGGGATGGGCTTTGGTGTCTTCTCAGCAAAAATGGCAAAACATGAAATCTGTGTGGGTGGGACTTTGCTCAATTCCAGGAGGCATAGCTGAACGCAGGAGCCCCAAAGGGTTCTCACAGTGTGGGGTTTCCCAGATTCTCTCCTGGACATCATAGCCACAGCAGCTTTTCCTGAGGTTACCAAGACAGCATGGGCGGGATGGAGGTGCTGGAGCCCATTCCCTCCATGAAACTACATCCATCAGAACTTCATGGGAAAGGACTGGGCTTGAGGCAGGAGGTAAAAGGGTGTAAGTCTAAGGGCCCAGTCTGGGCAAGTCAAGGCCCTCCAGACCACAGTGACCAAGATGCTGGCTACAGGGAGGACAATGATATTATGTCAGTACAGGCATGCCATGGAAACCCAAGACTGAAGACATAGTGTCCCTGGCCTCTCAAGGTTGGAAGTGGAAAATGGTTCTCACTTAAGGTGTCTTAGAGTAGCAGCTTTCTTTATCCCTTGGTGGCTGCCTCACAGCCCCTTGGCTTCTTACTATGTTCCTGCCAGGCCTCCTGGTCTGCCTCCTCAGAGCTCAGCTGAATATGGCCACCATAATCCTCTGCCTTACTCTAGGCCAGTGGTTCTCAACCTTCCTAATGCTGCGACCCTTTAATATAGTTCCTGTGGGTCGCAACCCACAGGTTGAGAACCGCTGGTCTAGGCAAATGTTCAACGGTGACTCCACCACCGCCTGGCTCCATCTCTATTTCCCAGTTCTAAGTTCCCAGAGTAGGATCTGACTGGGCCAAGTTGGCAGCCCCTGGAGTAGGGACCAAGGTCCAGTCAGCTGTGGCTGGGAGGTTGTGTCCCACCTGGCATGGAATATGAGGCAGAAGGCTCTCTGGGCAGAAAGCCATGATCTCCACCCCCACAGAAGGACCTTGTGGGGTGCTTCCTTCCCAGCAGACCCTGGGTGTCAAAGTAGACTGACTGGAGCCCCAAGGAAAGGCAGTTTGATAGGAGAGTATCTCTGCATGAGGAGAACATCTCCCTGCAGTGGACATTGCAGGGAGCCCCTTGGGGACACACCCATTGCCCACTCATCAGGTCAGCTTACATTCAGCTGAGTGTCAACCTCATACCACAAGGCTGCAGCCTGAGCCGGACCCTGAGGACTTCATCATAAAACAGACACAATCTCTGCTCCCAGGACCTCCCAGGATCACAGCAAGGGAAGGGGCTCAGACTAAAATTACAACGTGAGACCGAAGGAAATCCATGGGAGGAGCAGAGAGAGAGGAACTGCCAGACTTTCTCAGTGGAGACAAAATTACAGTCACCTCCTAATCACTGCCTCCTGGAAACAGCAGCTACTTGGAGAAGTTCCCTGCATTTTTTTTCTGGTGCCTAACTTGGCTCTGGAACTGATTCCCAAACCAACAAAGAGGGAGCCCCGATTTGCTGTCACCTACTGTGTGCTAGCCCTGGGCTGCATCCTGTGTCTGCCATCTCAAGCTGCAATCCCTGGGATGGGAGCATGGCCTTCCTTGGAACCTAATGACAACACCACTGATTACCTGCCAGGTGCTGTTCTCTGCACTAAGCTCATCAACTCTACAAGGCAGGTACTGTTATTACCACCAACTCATTACACCAAGAGAAGATTGATGTACAATAGGTTAAGTCACTTACTCTAAGTCCCATGGTAAGGAAGAAGAGCCCAGCCCAGCCCTCTGGCCCCAGAGAGATTACATGTCCTCTTCCCCATAGCTATATGTGTGTATGGGGCTGGACAGGCTCATTAGAATGCCTTGAATTCTGGACAATCAGCAGAACAATTCTCCTCATGATTGAAGAAGAGCAAATGTGCTGCTGTTTGGTGATGGTCACCTCCACCTGTGAGGACTGCTGCTGAGGCCTTCAGCGTGTCACTGCCAGGAACCTCACCATTCAAAATTCTGCAGCTAGAGTGAATGAGTTTGTCAGTACTTATCAGGACCTGATGAGTGAGACAAGGCTTTGGCTCCTGGTTAGAGGAGAAAGGCGGGAACCTGTATACTGGGTAGGGAAGGAAAGACAATTACAGGAGTCTGGGGACATGGGTGACATAGTCCTGAGCCTTAGGGGCTAGCAGGATGAATGGGCTGCAGTGGGATTCAGCTCCCTTTTTTATGACTCACTCTTCATTGTCATCAGGGAATCAACTCTCATTAGAAAGTTGTCCCATGTTGAACCCAAAGTACACAGCTCTCCCTAGCAGACATTGGCATTAACCAAATAATAAAATTCAAAGAATTTGTATAGTATTGGGAATAAGAACCTAAACCAGTTCCTGATCCACCATGAGGGATTCCGCTGAGAGTCCACAGAGGGTAGAGCCAGACATCATGATCCACTTCTGTGACCAAGGCTGAGCGTGCAGGGCCGACACCTACCAAGGCCAAGGACTGCCCCTGCACCACCCACTTCCTTCCACACATGTGGCCAGCTCACTGCTTCCCTATCAGCCTCCCTAGCCAGCCAACCAGGCATCCACCAACAACCCATCCAATTTGGCCCACAGATAAACCTTATTTGCCACCCCGGAATCTAACTCCTGTCACTGGATATTCAGAAAAATTAAGGAAGGGGGGATGACTTTTCAGGCTCCCCCAAAATTGGGGGCAGAGTTGTCCTTTCTCTGCACCACACAGTAGAAACATAAACCTAAAAAGCCTGGGAATTTGAGGATGCCCTTTGGCTCTGAACTCTTGGCATTCTATGCATCTCATTGAAGTTACTTTCCACAGCTCCCCAGGGTTTGCTGCACTGACCTTGAGCCTCTCACCTCTGTGTCTGGAAGTTGGAGGTGAAAAGGCTGAGCTTGTGGCCTCTGTGCTGCTATGACAATCCCTTTGGGCCTGTGTGGGCTGGAAGCTTATTCTCACCCAGTTCAGCCTAATTCTTGAGACTGACATTTGGTTAAGAATCTGTTTCCAGAGCTGAGAGCCTGGTTCTGTCCATCCCTGCAGTGACAATTTCTGGCTCCCTGGAGCCCGAGCTGGCCATGCCTCTGTGAGAACTGGAGGGCAGGCTCAGGCCCCTGGGGAAGGAAGGTGGGGCTGTCTGACGCACAGAGAGCAGAGGGCTGCAGTTGTCCTCCCGGGGCCCAAGGAGGCCACTGCTGGCCTTAGTAGGAAAAAAGATTCCTACTAATTGCTAGATGTTTACTGTATGTCAAGCCCTGTGCTGAGCTCTGAATATGTAGCGACTCATTTAATCATTACAACAAACCCCATGAGGGAGACAATGCCAGTACCTGCATTCAGGAAACCGAGGAACCAAGGCATTAAGCAATATGCCTGAGACACACGGGCAGGGTGGCTCCAGGAATGCACATCATTAACCACTGTGCTATTCTGCTTTGAGTAGATGAGAGAGAAAGGACATATAGAATCTGATTTCAGGGACACCGGGAACAACTCCAGCCGGAAAATAATTTCTCTCTGCTTCTATTTTCTTTCTGCCTGGTTATGTCTTTCACTGCAGAGTGAACCAACCAAAGCCTGAATCACATCTTATCTCTGCCCTGTTTAAAAATCTTCAATGGCTCCCTTGCGGTTCTCAAGACAAAGTCCAAACTTCTCAGCCTGGCATTCAAAGCCTCAAATCCCCTGGCCCTTAACAATTTCTCCAGCCCTTGTTCTTGCCCGTCACTTCCTCTGCTTCAGCCACATTGGACTGTTCAGTTTCCTCGGCCTGCCGTGCTCCATCACATCTCTGTGTCTCTGCACGTGCTCGCTCCACTTTGCCCTCCTCAGGCCTACATGAACTTCTATGTATCCTTCGAGGCCTCTTAAGCCAATTGAAAAGGAAGCACTGAGTATGGTATGGAATGAGAGCCCAGTAGGTATGAGCTCACTGGTCCCTCCTCAAATGAACCCTTTGGATTCTAAGGGACAAAAACTCTACTCAAGAGGACCATCTTAGTGAAAACTCCAGGAGTATTTCACGTCACGTTTGTCTGGTTTGAAGTACTAAAACAATGACATCAGGAATCTGTTCTGGCCATCTGTATTAGTTAGGGGTCTCCAGAAAAACAGAAGCAATAAGAGGGAGAAAGGGAGAGAGAGAAAAAGATTTTTTTACGTTAAGGAATGGCTCACACAGAGGCCAAAAAGTCCAAAAACTGCAAGGCAGGCCAGCAGGCTAGAGACCCAGGGAAGAACTGTTACTGCAGTTCAAGTTCAAATTCAGTCTGTTGGCAGAATGCCTGTCCTTGGGGGATATAAGTCTTTTTTCTATTATGGACTTCAACTGATTCAATAAAGCCCACCCATGTTATAGAGGGTAAGTCACTCAAGGTCTACTGATTTAAGTCTTAGCTCATCTTAAAAATATCTTCACAGTAGCTCAGCACCCATAGCTCAGTGTTTAGGGCACCAGCCACATTAGCAGGGCTGGCAGGTTCGAACCTGGCCCAGGCCTGCT